GGAATATTGCTAAAAGCAACGTAAAATCAGACTCACTCACTCACTGTCGTTGAGACTGGTTCTCAGCTGTATTTGCATTGCATCGTCTTCATGGCTTGCAGTATCAGCCAATAGTTCGTAATGCCGGTTGAAGGGCTTTGCTTTGAGACATGATTGTTTTAGATTTATTGTTCAGTTCTCTAACATTATACAACATGCACTTTAACCCTTCATAACTGACTTCACAAAACAACATATACATTTCATTATAATCTTGTTATATAGCAATTTTTGGGGATAGGGCTTAAAGTGTCTATTTATCCGGAATTCATTTCGAGGAAATATATCGTTCATATAAACCTCATATGATTACAAAGGTACGCATCCACGGGCTCGAATAAAAACAAAGAAATAAAAGCGTAATAAATGCTCATGTTAAAAAACATGACATCGTAGACACCAACTATCACTAGTATCAGGGACAGATTGTCACTTGTTTTCTGGCATGTTAGTTACATGTAAATGGAATGACGACTGATAAAACGTTATTAGGAGTATGATACAGAGAGACTTTGTACGTTAGTCATGGCCTCATGGCGAAGATACTAGTATTGGTGAGGTGTTGTGGGGTTTAACGTCGCGTCCAAGATTACTGCACTATCATAGCGACGTGTGTGTGTGTACTAGTCTAGATTTGGACTAATGCCGGTTTTACAGTACCGTATGCCGCAGTTTAACAATGGTACCTTGCAGTGGGATATCCGAGCTCACTACCCTGTTTTGTCCCCTTAACGCAGAGCGCCGGGCAGGGTAGCAACAAGTACCATCTTTAAACGTCTTTGGTATGACGCGGCCGGGATCGAATCCCCCGACCTTCCACTCTCCGGGCGGACGCTCCACCACTAGACCACGGAGGCGATGCTTTTGATATTGATTGTAAGTGCCTGTTACATTACACACTCACACGCACTTGATATTACAGTGTTGTTTGTTTGTTTGTTTGTTTGTTTGCTGTTTAACGCCGCACTCATCCATATTCCAGCTATGTGACGGGGGTCTGTACAAAATCGAGTCTGGAACAGACAATCCAGTGATTGATATCATGAGCATCGATCCACGCAATTGGGATACGATGAAATGCATCAACCAAGTCAGCGAGTCTGACGACTCGATCCCGTTAGTCGCCTCTTACGACAAGCATAGTCGTTGTTTACTGGAAGTATGGGTTGCTGAAGACCAATTCTATGCCGGATCTTCACGGGTATACACAGTGTACGGAACATTAAGAACACTCACAGTACATCTACACAGGACAATATTTCTTCCGGTCACTATACGATACTTTATAGCCAATCTCCATCACTTGTGGAGATGAGATGGATTTGTCCATGGAAGGGTACATAGGACAGATCATGATGGTTTCGACCGTTTATAACATCTCATGGTTTAGTCAGCTCTTACGATGAACGTTAGCATGGGATGCTGTGAACCTTATTCTGGCCCGGAATCTCCACGATTCAATATGCCTGATGTCAACTTATATCTTTCCATTAATTTACTTTACGGGGCGGTCGGGTAGCCTTGTTGTTAAAGCGTTTGCTCATCACGACGAGGGCCCAGGTTCATTTTCCAAAATTGGTACAATATGTGAAGCCTATTTCTGGTGTCCCCCGCCGTGATATTGCTGGAATATTGCTAATCGTGGCGTAAAACCAAACTTACTCACACTGCAAACACGAAAACGTCGTTTTTTTCCGTATATGGTCATTGGACGGAAAAACGACTAACAATTCATTAAAATTGATTAATTGGTGAGCGTCTAGAAAGTGTGCAGAAAAGGGTCGAGTTTTTCAAGCGTAAAATCGACGGAAAAACGATGTTTTTGCTCCGCATTGTACACATGTTAATGGCCAACCAGATGGCGCTGGTCCCCCGACGCACATGATTCCTAAGGCTTCCTTTCGAAAGCTTTAGGTTTCGTATTTCTGGCATGCCTTGCTCTAGTATCTGTCGCGCGCAGTGCAGCGAGATTTCCTGATAAGCCAGTTTGAGGATATGTAACATGTTAATGGAATTTAGGCACGTGCCAAGAAGTCAAACCAAACAATGTTACCAAGTTTATTGTGGTAACATATCCCTCGGCTATGAACAGTTACCCCTATCGAATAATGGGTTGTGTTTCATTTGGTTATAATAATAACTATTTTTTTAATGTGAAGTTTACAAGATATACGGCTAGGACGAGAGGTCGGTCACATGACGTTCTTCACGTGACTGTATTCTTGAAATTGCGTAAACACTGACTACTTCCACATTCCTGGGGAAAACCCTTGGAATTCCCTGGTACGAATTCATACAGAAGCGTGGTTGCATGCCCGTTTAATATACCCTCGCTACAAACCACCCCAGAGAAAAAACAAACAAAAAAAACATCAAAACTATCGTAGTGACAATCTACAGCAATCTATGAATTTACCTTAGTATCTATTTGACACATCTTTACAATCACCTTTCAACGATCGGCCAATTGATCAGTGATGACAAAGGCTTGAAATAGCCACAGGTTAATTAACAACTTCGGACATATATCCCCTCGCGTTTATCGTGTCGGCCATTTTGACGTATTGTACTTGATGTAAATGTATTACGACGCTCTGTCATTGTAATTGACTTACTGAGGTAATTCTCATCTAATGAGGATATTGTTTGGAATATATTCCTTGTAAACATACTAACATACTATATGATCTGTTATTATATGTGTTTAAATTACGGTTTGTGGCGTTAATAAAATACACTGACGCACTATTCAAATCAATTGGATAATTGAATATGCTTTACATATTACATAACAGCTCTGCTAAACATTTGAACAGTTGCAGTAACACACTACGGTTATCGCATTAAACACCATTTTCAACTGTACAGTATTTCAGTATTTCAGTTATATCACGGTGTACAGACTGATGTGGGATTAAAATCCGAATTGGTTCAGGCCATCCAACGAGCCGGTTCGGGAAAAGGTGAGCGTATCCAGCGACACAAGTGGCACCCGTCACAAACACATGCAAGGACAAGTCAATTGTTCAACTGAACAAAGCACGGAAACACACAATGATGCCCGTCCTCACTTTTACCAAGCATGTAAATTATATTGTCCGTCCGACGAGTATAAACAATATGTTCATTCACCTAATACATGTCATACATTTTGATAAAATGTATTGACTCGGAGCATTATTGTTAATCACAACGTATAGACTCGGCATGTAGTTGAACTCATCACCCATCCCATTATTGATAATCCTTCTTGAAGATCTATGAAATCAGAAACTGCAACACTTTATCTTTTAATTGGCATGTCAGACTTTCATAACTCAGTTTTATTTGCACGGATCACTATGGAAGGGACATTGTCGCATTGTCGCACTTACAAAAACAAGCAAAACGTGTCAAAATTAACAAAAGCGCGACAATTGGCCATTTGTCGCATTGTCGCGTGTTTGCATTGTCGCTCTTTGAATAATTCTTTTCTTTATTTTACAAAAGGGCGACGATGCCGTAACGCGACATTTTCAAGGTCAAAATATGTCTCGTCGCATTGTCGCCCCATCACAAATGTGTATAAAAGGCGTAAAGTTTAGTTAATGCTACAGTTAGGAAGCGGTAACCAAGTTACATCTGTCGTAGAAGTTCAACCTGATACATGTACGTCTTGAAATGAAAACACAAGTCCGTCCGCGAGTCCATAACGTTTTAGTGTGAGTTCTTCTCTAAAAGTGCTTAGTCTTCGACTCCCAGTTCCAAACACGTAGTACCTCATCAACAATCCACAATACCTCTAGTGCAGTGGTCTTCCGGAAGATCTTACTCTTGACCGCATTAGACAACTGACGAGTGCACGCCTGACCTGTGACCTCGTTGCAACCTTCATGAGGTGTTTGCCGAAGGGAGAGGGGTAGGAAATGTGTGCTCCAGCCCAGCGCAGAGCTCGCGACACACTGTATACTGAATGTTGTATACAGTATATTGCAGTTGATATACTGTATACTGCATGTGATACTTATTAGCGGAAATGTTACAACTTTCAAGATTCAAGATTCAATTTGCATTTATTTCATATACAACAGACCGCCGTCATATATCACTGGAATACTGCTGAGAGCGGCGTTAAAACAATTTGTTTTCATAATGGAGCGCTGCAGTCATTTAAAATAGACCCGTAAACATATGTAGTACCAACTCACTCACTCTGTTTCGAATAATCAGCAGAAAATATATTATTAACCAGGTCTTTGGGAAGAGATATCAGATTTTTATAAGAAGTCACATAGGGATGATAAGGACCCCTCGCTGATTAGGTTCTTGTTTACTTAAGAGCAGAGTTGGCCATGTTAGATGATATAACCAAAAGGTTATATCCCATTAGTTAGACGTCCCATTAGTTAGACGTCCCAATTGTTAGACATTTGTAATAAGGAAAAGAGGGAATATACCTACAGGTGTAATGGATCAGTCCTAATTAGATTAAAGTACTGAGTCGGGATAGGGGACTCACAGTTTAGGGAGTATATATGTTATAATTTCGTTTAATTAACCTAAATTACCTTACTCTCAGCACAGGTTCAATAGGCATGAGATTAACTATGTAAACTATGGAGTAGCTTAATTGTCTTACTGTATGATCAGTTGAAGGAGTTGAGTTTAGATTATCTACTCATCCAACAAATAAAAATGATCTTGGGGTACGTATCATTATCAGTATCGATGTGGCTGGTTTAAGGAAAGTAGAGTACATCACCTCTCGGCGTGGAAGTGAGCAGTTGATATTAGATGGATATATTTACAACAGAAACCGCGAGAGGCAAACATGCACACATTGGAGATGTGTCGTCAAGACGTGCAATGGGAAATGTACAACTGTCGGTGACTTTCTTTGCAATCAGTCGGAACATAACCATCCGCCTGAAAATGAAACCAGAGTGAACTTTGTCAGCAACCTTCGTAAAAGAGCGCGAGAAGTAACCACACAGATGCAGGCATTGTACGAGGAGCAAGTCACTCAAGTAGATGAAGCCAACATGCCAGCGATGCCATCATTTCAGAGCGTGAAAAGTGCACTTTACAGGTAAATATCATCCCCTATTTTTGACTTGGTTAGAATTTACTTTTTTTTTAGGTCCCACATAACTTGTTTTGCTCTTAAACATTTCAAGTTAATCAAATCATTATCAATATTTCATGTAACATATGTGTAACTGTTCCTTTGCTCTTGTTCAGGCGTTACATTCCAGCGTTACCCAGGTCGCGGTCAGCAGTAGACATTGAAGACAAATGGTCAGAGACAACAGATGGACGTCCCTTTCTGCTGTTCAGCGACGGCGACGATGACAAGATCCTGGCTTTCTCCACTGCAGAACAGATACAAGCCCTCCAGGAAGCTGACACCCTTTACATGGATGGTACCTTCACAGCATGTCCAGGTTTATGGGATCAAGTATACATCATTCATGCCAGAGTTGGCCCCAACACCTTCCCTCCAGTGTTCGCCCTTTTGCCAGATCGCCAAGCAACAACCTATGGCCGGCTTTTTCGACAACTGAAGACAGAAGTTCAAGAGCGACTCAACAGACCTCTGTCACCTAGCACACTTGCTCCGTCTGGGATAAATAAACTGTAAAAGTTATTAAATGTAAAGTGTACATTACCAAAAACTGGCACAAAGTGTTGTTACAAACTGTATAAAATTTATCAAATGTAAAGTGTCATTAAAAGGTTAAGTATAATATTAAAGTATCTATTTAAAGCTGCTTTGCTTTGTTTGTCAGATCTTATCTGGACTATTCCATTTTAAAGTCTGAGGTAACAAGCATAAGGATCAGTGTGCACTCAACCGTTTAAAGTGTTGTTATAAGCTGTCTAACTATTGGGACGTCTAACTAATGGGAGGACACCAACCAAAATCCAGGCGCTCCGGCGGGGGGCAAGCTGGTCTTGTTAGTGTATGGTATGAGCTGTGGCGTTGACCCAAGAGAATAATGTAAAAAATGAGACCAACTCAAATCTATAACGATTGGGAAAGTCTAGATTTCCACAGCCCTAGCCTGAAATTAAGAATTGTTCTAGGCTCCATTTTAATTGTATTATGTTCATTTTGTAGACATGGATGGACCAACCAGGAGAGAAATTGATGGAATATTAATATCACATGTTACCACTGATCCAGTTAATTTCATCACACAATAATATATTAGTATTTGACATTACGCATTTGATTATTAGGGCATGATCATGTACATGTTCACTGCAGTAATGTACACACCAGTCAACTTGATTATAATTTTTATTATAGTGTAGCGCGGCATCAACGATTACTTTATGATATCCTCACTTGTCATCGATGTAATGACATCGAACAATGAACGACAATTCGAAATTCTTATAAATAGCTTCAATAGGGACAGCGCCGGTGTCAGTACAATTTTCCTAGTTAAAAATATGTCTCTAAAAAATATAATCTGAAGCAGACAAGAACAATATTTTTTTATTAATGCTTCCTTTCATGGATAGAATTGAGGCAAGCTAGGCTTGCCAAATCGTTCTAGACTTGAGCTGGATTCCTTTTAAATTTAGACGAACGGGCGTCAGTATCGCATGGAGAACTGGGACAGCCTGAATCAGTGTAATCGGATATGTTGTGGAGTTTCGGTTTGGGGCTGCTTGCTGAATAGAACAAGGGCTCACGAACAAGGGCACAATGTAGAGATTAAATCATTACCACCTCTCTTTATATCAGATATGTTATTGTGATTTGAAATCTCTTTTGGATAATTGCCAGTTATGTATTACTCGGAGACTGTATTCTTTCGTCATGGTAGCATATATACCAGCTATATGACGGTGGTTCGTAAATAATCCAGTCTGGACCAGACAATCCAGTTATCATCACCAAGAGCACCGATCTACGCAATTGGGATACGATGACATGCATCAACCAAGTCAGCGAGCCTAACCACCCGATCATGTTAGTCGCCTTCGAACAAGCATGGGTTGTTGAAAAACCTATTCTTACCCGGATCTTCACGGGTAATGTTTTTAATAATAAGGTACAATGAAATTCTGTATATGTCCATAATAAGTGTGTATACGTAAATGGATAATATATCCATACACGCCAATTAAACTGCTGCATATGGTTCTTTGATGAACTCTTTTACAAGTCCATATTTCAAGACATGTATTTGATATTCATAATAAATCCACAAAAGCCTCACAATGGTGACAAAACGGTACCAGCATCACAGATACCAATAATACATGAGATCCATATTATTACTTTAAAGTTAAAACATGTATCTAAATAGAAAATTGGAAGGATACACTTCCGACATTTGTCGTATTTTGTTTTCGTTTGGAGAGAGAAGTTGTGATTGGTATCTGATGGGTGCAAACAGGTGTTCCCTTCCGCCATGGCCTTACGGCAATGCTATAGCCCAAAATGAAACAAGCCTAGATGTTCAACAGGTTCAGGCTGAAATTTCCATCCCACTTGGGCTCCATTCTTAATTTAGATATAGTTTCTCGTGTCGATATGTGTCAAAAGAAATGAATAATAAAATATTACAGCACTGCTGAATAGGTGGTATGCGCATGTCAGCGTCGATCCTACAATATCCTTTTATGCAAAATACATATATGCTGATGAATTAACGTAGTAATACTACGCAAATATATGTCAAGATGTATACATCAGTAACATCTCGTGATCTTTATTCGTGCTTTAAGCTCTTTTTCTACCGGAGATTATGGGGTGTTACATCACACCAGAAAGCCAGGTCCAAATTCAAGTCATAATTTCATGGTCTGTCTTGTATGTTGGGAACCAATATCGCAATATGGCTGAATATTGCTAAACGTGGTATTAACCCGATTACTCACATAATTATTCCATTTTCTACAGTTATCTACGAACACTATCTTTAAGGAGGTATATCTATATCATCCAAATGTCCATACATATATGTCCACATATATATGTATAAAGCAAATCGTCCTGCACTCTTCCTTAATAGTAGTTTTTGTTTGATTGTTGTTAAACGCCGCACTCAACAATATACCAGCTATATGACGGCGGTTTGTATATAATCCAGTCTAGGCCAGACAATCCAGTTATTGACATCAAGATCACAGATCTACGCAATTGGGATACGATGACATGCATCAAACCAAGTCAGCGAGCCTGACCACCCGATTATGTTAGTCGCCTTAGAACAAGCATGGGTTGTTGAAGGCCTATTCTAACCCGGATCTTCACGGGTATTTTTCAATAATAAGGTACCATGAAATTCTGTATATGTCCATAATAAGTGTGTATAAGTAAATGGATAATATATCGATACACGCCAATTAAATGGCTGCATATGATTCTTTGATTAACTCTTTTACAAGTCTATATTTCAAGACATGTATTTGATATTCATAATAACTCCACAATAGCTACACAATGGCGACAAAACGGTACCAACATCACATATCTATATAATTACTTTTAAGTTAAATCATGTATCTAAATAGTAAATTAAAAGGATTAAAAATATGCACTTCCGACATTTTTCGGTTTTCTTTTCGTTTGGAGAGAGGAGTTGTGACAGTAGTGACTGGTATCTGATGGGTGCAAACAGGTGTCGAGTGGCTGTCTCAGATGGCTCTAATATCGTAGCTCTAAAGATCATGACAGCGATACAGACCGTTATGCAGTTTGTCTCACAGTCCCTAAACCATATTATTTTCCCTTCCGCCCAGGCCTTACTGCAATGCTTATAGCCCGAAATGAAACAACGTTAGATGTTCAACGGGTTCAGGCTGAAATTTCCATCTCACTTGGGCTCCTTTTAAATTTAAATATAGTTTCTCGTTTTAACCAAAATAATGTATTTTCAGGGACTAAGAGTTTGTCTAACCGTGAAGTACAACTATCCAAAAGATCCCATGCATGTCTATATTTCTTCAGACAGACTCTCCATGTTCCTATCTATATGTATCAAAAGAAAAATGAATTAAAATATTACAGCACTGGTGAATAGGTTATATGCGCATGTAAGCGTCGATCTACAATATCCTTTGCGCAAAATACATATATACTGATGAATTAACGTAGTAATACTACGCAAATATATGTCAAGATGTATACATAAATTTCATCTCGTGATCTTTATTCGTGCTTTAAGCTCTTTTTTTACATTAGATTATGAGGTGTTACATCACACCAGAAAGCCAGGTCCAAATTCAAGTCATAATTTCATGGTCCGTCTTGTATGTCGGAAACCAATATCGCAACATGGCTGAATATTGCTAAACGTGGTATTTACCCGATTACTCACATAATTATTCCATGTCCACATACATATGTATTAAGCAAGTCCCACATTCTTCCTTAAAAGATAAATGCTAAGCATTTCCTCTGTATGTATTTATATATGTAAAAATCGTTTTTATGACTACAGTGATTTTTGCAAGGCTACTCTCATAAATGTTATGACGCATTTGAGGCCAGGGTTCTTCTATACTCGCATTAATGTGCTGACTTATTATTGCGTTAATTTCATGATTTACAGTATTCATGAAGAACATTTTACGTGGGACCAACAGAGGGAAATATGACTATCGACTATTTGTTTATACTTAGCTAGCTCAAACGTTCTATTGGTTTGATTTATTGTTATGGTATCCACAAAATAAGTAGGATCCGTTTTTTCTGTTTTTGTTGTTCTTTGTGTAACGCCGCACGTAGCAATATTCCAGTTATATGACGGTTGTCTGTAAATAATCAAGTCTGGACCAGACAATCCAGTGATTGATATCACGACCACCGATCCACGCAGTTTAGATACGTTGACATGCATCAACCAAGTCAGCGAGCCTGACCACCCGACCCCTTTAGTCGCCTCTTACGACAAGCATAGCCGCCTATAACGGCAAGCATGGGTTGCTGTAAATCTATTCTTAACCGGATCTTCAAAGGTCAAGTGGGATTCAACTGATATATTAAGATGAAATAAAACTGAATTAGATGTGCTGTTTACATATCAAAGTTTGCCAAATTGTTACAAAATGTTTGGCCACAGCAAGGCTACGTATTCACAACTTATTGTGGTAGGCACAGTATAACTCATGAGTCTGGACTGAGGGAGGGCCTTGTGGGTCACCTGCTTGGCAATATGGGACGGGAAAACTGCAGGGGGTGAGGGCAGTTAAGTTGATGGTACAGACAGATAACAGAGATCATTTTACAAATGTGAAACCTCATTCCACAAAGGAAGGGGCGAAAGCTGAAACTTGTTGAGATTTACAGAACAAAGGCAGTTATTTCTAGTTTCTTACTGACTCTCGAGGATACATTTAATAAAAATTCGTGTGTGCGACACTAAATTTGGGTCACAATCTTTCTGTCTTCTTTCATTTGTCATCTGAAATACCATCCCTTCGTGCACTTGTGCTTCCTGCTCAAGTTACCAAACACATCCTGTTTACGTACACCTGCAAGATATATATTACGCCAAGGAGAATTTACGATTATACGTTGATACGTCTAACTGCTGGCCTGTTACGCAATGTCTTATTTCTTATCGCCAGGGATCACAGGTGTGATACCAGTCTCCCTCAAGGAGACGTCTGATGAATCTCTTTGCTTCGTCAATGCTTCGTCTAGCCCAAACCGGTAACTGGTACCACTAGCAACAATACAATGGCGTACAAAGACTTA